TTAGTCAGCGAATACCAGTCACGGTTGCCCTGCCAACTGGTCGTTGACGGTGACCTACATACTGTGAGCTCCAAGTTCACCACTGCAATCTGTCGGAGAGGCATTCGCAACATCGACCAATTCGCACATGTATGATGGGACACCATGGCAGGCACAACATCTTCGCGCAAGTACGGAAAGAGGACAACCAGGTCCAAGGCGGAGCGACTATTCGCAGAGCTTCCGCAAAGCCCTTTGAGGAGGAAGCCTGAAGTACAGGTTGATGACAAAAGTGTGGCTGAGTTGACTGAGAACCTTTCTGTCATAAAAATCTCGGCCGAACAGGTATCATCTTGTATTCCTGTGGAGGTTATTGAGGAGAAGGAGGAGGACAATGAGCATCTTAAATCCGAGGACCCGCCAGTTTCAGACGCTTGCCCACAAGAGAGCATCCAGGAAGTGGTTGAAACCGAAACTCTTCAGCCAGGAACAAAGGACTATCAACAATTTGTGGCAGAGATTAACCGCGAGAGTCATGTCGAGGGGCCTGCATTGGATGAAGGGGATGTGGGCAATGTTTCACTACGAATGTTAACCTGGGAGGATATTTGTCCTCCAGGAGATCAAATCACCAAAATTGCGGAGGCATCGTTCGCCGAGGTTTACCGTGTCAGCAATGAGCGGGGAACGAGCATTATCAAAGTCATGCGGCTGGAGTCGCCTCTCAAGGCGCAGACAAAAGCACAGGTCCGGTCTGGGCTGGTGGACGAAGAGCCACGCTCGGGAGAAGACGTTGAGGGAGAACTCCAGATATCAGAGTGGCTGGCCGACATACCTGGCTTCGTTGTTTACAAGGAACGCTATGTAGTGCAAGGGAAAGCACCCCGCCAGCTAATTGAAACCCATCAGGCGTTCCAAAAGAAGCTGAAGAAACAAGATCCCGGCCGGGCACAATTTTATCCATCCCCCACCAGATATCTCCCAGATACGAAATTCCTTGTCGTCGAACTTGGCGATGCGGGTAAGGCTTTGGAAGACTGGGAGCTTACTAGCATGGATCAACTATGGGACGTATTCTTTCTCGAAGCCATTGCGCTGGCCCGAGCCGAGGATGTGGCTATGTTTGAGCATCGTGACCTCCATGAAGGCAACTTGTGCCTCAAGCAAGTGTCACCTCCCCGCAAGAGGCATCCGAACTCATCGGGATACTTTGGATATTCGGGACTTGAGATCACAATACTGGATTATGGCCTGTCCAGGGCTGAAGACCTTAGCATTGATTACGCCAAGCCAGTCGCTTATGACCTGGAAAAAGATCTCAGCCTCTTTACGAGCACTCATGCACCTCAATGCAAGGTATACCGACAAATGCGCTCGTTTCTTCTGCGAGCTGATCGCATTTGCCTCCCCCCCGAGAAGCACGACAACGCCTACGCAAAGGGGATCGACGGGCCAATTTCATGGGACGCATATGCACCCTACACCAACGTTCTCTGGCTTGCATACCTTTATGAGTATCTCGTCAATAATTTTGCAGGAAGCAAGAAAGAACTGAACGACTTTAAAAAGCTTACGGCCGAGATGTGGGGGTATTTGAACCCCGAGGCGAAATCCAATGTTCCCTGTTTTGGGAGCGCAGAAGACATTGTCGGCTTTGCGGTTGAAGCTGGATGGGTGAGAGAAGACCAGCTCATGGAGCTGGGAAATTCGATTTTGGATAAAGAGGATAGCATCATCATATCCAAGGCAGAGGATGATGTCGAGGATGCCTCAGTGAGAAGGTCTCCCCGCAGAAAACAGTAATGGGGGCATACGAGATGACCTGCTCGCATGGAGTTGTGCCTCGGGCCATATATATCACTGGGAAAAGACGTGTTTGATTTAGGATAGATTTTGGTTTGGCGTCATTGTAAGCATCACGCTTCTTTATGGTGAATACCCTGGGATTGTTTTACACACATCAGCATTGGATTTTAGAATTTTTAGCGATACTATCATATTAAGATAATATATTAGAATCTACGGTTTACACCTTTGAGAGTATACTTGATTTTAGATGACATGGCTATGAGACGATCGTTGAAACTACGTAGATAATAAGAGGGTCTTCATCTCCGGATCGGCATCCAAATCACATTCATGCGAATTGCTGCAGTTAAATAGTGCCTGTGGCATGATGTGCTTGAGCATGGACCAAGCAAAGCACGAGGCTACCCTGCTTCTTTATGTCTGACAGGTTGTCTGTGTGCAGTGGCGCTTTCGAGATGCGCCCAGCTGGCGATGCCACAATAACGATGGTTAATGATGATGATATACTTGCCTACATACTTTCTGCCGTTATCGTGAACCTCGGACAAGGATGGATGGGGCGAGTCGGTATTATGCCTCCTTTGGTAGGTCGTTAGTTCGACGACGCATGCCGGTAATTGTTTTTATTTACCTACTCCGAGGAAAGGGGTCCGGGTGTCTTTTCACGTGAGTCCGTGCCTGAGCATCCGATCTTTGTAAGTGTGACAGGGAACGGCCTTAGCTCATTACAGATATCAAATCGTAGAAGACAGGCGTGATCTTTCCTGCTCAGCCGAGCATGCAAAGCCAGCTGTTTGGTTCGTTATAATGCACGGAGCGAATCGGAGAGTGACTGGGTGCTGCCAAAAAGAAAACATGCTGTAGGTATCCCAAGCTGTTGTAATACTGCCTGCTCTCACAGCGAGGCTGGTGGAACCTTGCTCCCCGCCACAGCAGCAGCTCTCGATCCCGGCCCCAGGAAGCTCAGTGGATGTTGACGGTGCCGAGGCTAAATCCTCGGTCCACTAAGAAATTGCAAGGCCCCAGCTGAAGACCAGACCGCTGAACCGTCGCGCGCCTCACCTACTCGTACACGCTATCCAACGCCTGTGCATCCTCAGCCCGACCTCCATTGCAATTCTCCCCATCGGCATGCTCACTAACAGCCATGTCGCGGATTCGCTTGTGACCACACGGCTCTAAATTACCACCTGCCACTCCTTCTATTTGACCACCCATGCTCCTCTCCCTCCTCCTTCCCACTTCCTGAGGCGCAATTGCCCGTGTCGTCTCACCCACTTTACCCCGGATATTCTGGAGCCCTGTTTTCTTTGTCGACTCCATCCTCACTTCCTTTGTCTTCCTACTCCTGTCTCGAGCGGAACCTCACGCCATTGACTACACGCATACGTAGGGCTGTCTGACAGACCGTCATCAGCTCTTCTCTACCCCGATCTCCGCCATGGCTACGAATAACTCCTTTTCAGTGTTCAGCTCGGCGGCAGCAACCGCCCCAACCTCGGAACGATTTCCGCAACACGTTTTGGCTTCCTCCATCTCCTCGCTCTCCTCGCCGAACTCTGCCAAACAATCTTCTCATATATCCAAGACCTACCGTCAATCATCGACGCTATTCCTCACGCGTCGCCTACCTGAAGCGCTCACGACTCTGCTCCCGCTCATCTCACCTCCGGGACCGGAAGAAGATGGAGAACCTGTGCCAGTTGCGCGGGCCTCTCGGACCACGCGTATCAAGCTCTGGAGCTTATATCTCACTATCCTCAACGCGATAGTTGAGCTTGAGCCTGATGAGGGCAAGGACTCCTTCGGCCAGACAGAGTGGAGAGCTCTGTGCTCAAAGATACGGGATGGAGAGATTTGGGAGGAGGTAGTGAGGAACGGATACCATGGCGTGGAAGGTGATGTCGATGCCGATGTTGTCATTAATTTGTAAGTTGAGATACAATTATTCTTCATTCTGCAGCACACGGTTGGCTAATCGAACGGGGGCAGGGCGACGATCTTGCTCACGCACGGCCGGGATCAAACTCTCAACCAGAAGAGACTCGAGGCATACCTAGCAACATCAGCAGCGCCGAACCTGGATCTCAATGGCCGGTTTGGTGAGCCTCCCTCTCCATCATCTCGGTACCGATCTCCCGCCAAGGGGCCCAGCGGCGCCAACACACCAAGAGATCTCAATGCTCGGGTAAAGCTCTTGGAGCTCTACACACTTCATATTCTTCCTCGCAACAATGACTGGGAATATGCTCGAGAATTTATCGCGATGAGCCCAGTCCTCGATGAAGAGCGAAGAGAAGCGTTTCTTCAAGCTCTACAAAGTCTCCAAGATGACCAGCACGAGCAAGAGAGGCTGGAACAAGAGGAACACGAGAGGCAAGAAGCCCAGCTAAAACAGGAGCTCGAAGAGGCAAAGAGGCTAAGAGCGGAAAATGAGGAGCGGGAAAGAAAACGATTGGAGGAGGAGCGCTCGAACAGAGAGGCTGAAGAGGAAGCAAGCGAACTCGACTTTGGCGTTGAAGATACACCAAGCATATCGGGGTCAGCAAAGGGAAGGCAGACAAGGAAGATCCCGGATACCGTCCGTTCCCCGCGCCTGCCACCAGCAAATCCAAAGACGAATCGAAAGGCGGTGGCTCCTCCTACCATCACGGCGAGGGCATCCATGGTTTTGTCTCGATTCCGTGGTATCATGGAGCAACTCACCCTCTCGCTTAACAGTAATCCCATGCTCTTAATGAGGCTTTTGGTGTTCATGATGGGATTCATTATTATACTGGGGAACAAGAATACCAGGCTTCGCGTTCAGCGTGCTTTGGGCACTTTCTGGGGAAAGCTCAAGGCCACTGCAGGGATGGGGACGAGAGTGAGTTATATCTGATTAGCAAAATTGTATCTGTAGTTTTTTTTGTTGCATGGGTTGGCGTTTTGTTTTTTACATCCTTGGGATTTCGTTGGGGGACGGTTTTGGGTATTGTGATCACGACTTCAGAGTGTATATATAACTCTACAGATATGTTAATTGGTGTTCTGTAGAACAATCCAAATAGTACAGTAAAGCGATTGACCTTTTCCCTGCATGCATGTATCTATCATTATCGAAGCAGCCGGACCGCTCATTCTTCTCGTCATCTTCACGCTGGCACTTTCACAGAGTAGGCTTATGCTCTTGTATTTGGAAGCTTCCATTTAATAATAAACAAGTCCCATGCTCATGATGCGAGGGTAAGCTCGGTCCATCTAACGCCAACCAATGCCATACCAATATTAAACAACAAAAACGACCAGTCTGATATCTTTCCAAGAAAGCCCAACCCGGGCCGCTCGAGGGTTAATAATTTTGCGTCCGATTCGTTTTCTTTTGGTAGAATAACTATTTGCAAAAAGAACCATAGTTAGCATCTAACTGAGAAGCACCAAAGGGAAGGCAGGAGGCAGCTTGGCCGGGGGTGGGAAGATGGCACGTGAGGCCCGAGGGAGAAGACTCACATCCGTCCTCGAGCTGCCCAGATTGATAATCTTGGGGCAGCCGTCGCGGTCCTTCTCGAGGCGGGTGCACTCGAAGCAGTAGAAGGCGTCGGAGATGCCCTCGCCGCCGCAGACGACGCACTTGTTCTGGTAGTTGCCGAAGCTGCACTCGTCGCAGATGCGGACGAGGGTGGTCGGGCGGACGTAGGAGTCGCAGACGGGGCACTTGCCGTCGCACTTGTCGCAGAGGCGGCCGATGGCGATCCCGGGCTGTTTGCGACACATGACAAGGTCGCTGGGAGCAGATTTAGGTTAGTTTTCCTGGCTGGGCAGAGGTGGGTTATCTGGAAGGGGATTCTTTGGGGGACTCACGGATGATGACGCGACATGATGAGCTATTGGTTGATCGCGGGTCGGCGTATAATAGGAAAATGAGGTTTATGGCCAGGTAGGAGTGTAGATTGGTTCTGGGGAGAGCTTCTGTTGGAGGTTCGTTGGAGCTCTGAAGAAAAGATGGCGATGATTATCTCAGCCAGCTCTGGTGTTTGCTCCATGATTCTAGGTACAGCCGTTCTGTTGGCCACCTACCCTGTATCATTTGGACCAATCAACCACTCAATCCCAGACCTGTTACTATGACTCGTACTTTTCATCCTCCGCCTACATGATATGATACATCTCCTACTAACCTTATGCGATTCTATTATATATGCCTAAATTTACGGTCATTCGATGTTTACTGATTTATCATCTTCTGTATTGGTTACTGGGCCGTCGTTATTCGTTGAGTAAGAAGTGGGGCGTGCTACAACTGGTCGGGACCAACCAACAGCTCCAGCCATCTACACCTGCTCCGTAACCGCTGGAGGGAGCTCCGGCAGACACAGACAGGCAGATGTGGTAGCATCTCAGGCAGGACGAGAGCACCGTTGCATCCATGTGTTTGATGCCTGTGTCCAATCTGCATCTCTCCGAGATCCGAGCCGCCTAAGCGACATTTCCTCCCAAACCATCATTGGCAAATGTAGGCCTTAGGTTTTGGGAACATACCTGTCGAGATAGCTTCACCCTCTGGCGCAATATTGCCTAGCCGACCTCATCGTTTCGCGGGACTGCGCCCTCGACTCCAAACAATCGCCACGGCCAAAGAGTATGCTCACTGTGATATATAATTCCTGAAAATCATCATTTCGGCTGCTAATCAATCCTGCGTGCGTCGCCATTTAGGGCCATGGCCTCCGATTCACACATGCCAGAGGCAGACCTTGCCGATCAGGTACAACGTAAGCGCAAGGCCTCCCTTGCTGATACGACCGAGGATGGATCCCCGAAGCGGCCCAAGCAACAAGACGACACACGGGATCCCGGCAGGCCACGGCGCGCGTCCTCCCCCCGCCGAAACCGCAGAGAATCAAACGAAGGGCGGCAGTACGATGAAGCATTGAGGCAGAAGCCGGCGTCTCTGGAAGAGAAGAAGAGAGGGAGACGGTTATTCGGAGGCTTGTTGAATACGCTGAGCCAGACCAGTACCAGCTCGCACCAGCAGCGGCGGCAGGAGATTGAGAAGCGCCAGCAGGAGCGACAGAAGAAGCAAAAGGCCGAGGATGACCAGAAGAACGAGGAAAGGTTCGCGCACTTGCGAGAAATCCGCATGGGTAGACAATTGGAGTTCGAGAAGGAGGTGGTGAGTACCAGCCTGTTCCAACTTCAATTCTTGTCTGGAGGAAAGACACTCAGACTGACGATTTGCGATAGATGCAACAAAAGCACTCCAGATTGCTCTGGCAGTCACGCCATCTGAAAACGAAGGCTGAACCTGTGATAGTACGTTGCCAGCTTGATATCTTTGCCTTCGGGTCACTCACATGGCTGACCTTGACCTTAGTTTTATTCTCCGTGGAAACTGACAGGGGACCAAGAGGATGTTATTGACGAGCAGGTCAGTGCTGCCAAAAACCTGATAGAAACCGAACTTGAGGCTTTCAAGGAGAAGGAACGGCTTCATGCTGAAAAGTATGGATCGCGATCCTCTCCACGTGTTGAGCATGAGCCCCAGATTCCTGGTCAAGAACCTCCCAAGTCTGGGATGGATACTGAGAAGAAGGATATCGAAGACAAGGGCAAGCCTGAACCTGAGGGTGCTGGCGCTACGGCCAGCGTGGTAACCGCAATACACCATCACCATGATGACTCTGAAGATGTGGTCGTCGAAGGTGATGAGGATACGGTTATCTACTAATGAAGGGTTGGCTTGGAAGGCGGCCATGAATCCTTTTTATGTTTTTTTTCTCCCCATTCATGGGGCTTCACCTCTGTCCCCGTTGTCGTCTGAGAAGCCATCCAGGGTCGTATTTTGTATTTGTGCCTGGTGTTCCATGGCTTGGAGCTGGGAACCGTTCAATGGCCGTTTTAAAACGAGGAACTGACATGATGAGAGTTGGGTTATGCATTGGTAGTGGTACGATTTCATGTGTACAGATTAAACAGGTCTTGCGATACCACAGTGTAAGCAAGTTACGTTTTGATTTTGCTCCTGCCGTCACACCGAACAGGAAGGGCGGTGAATCGACCCAATTTCTGCCCAGAATCAACGTCATGAGCCATACAGCTAAGTACCTATTACGTAGTCTATTGGACGACTTTCTTGCTTGGGACGAGGACAACATAATGGCAACCCGGAAGACTCGTACATATCCGAGAGTTTGCTCAGTTGGAACGCTCTAAGCAACGCGCATATTAATAATTAGTCGGGGTTCACAAACTGCCGCCGAGCAGGGTCTCTTGCGGGCAAATATCCGCAGTGACATAAGCGGCGGACGGAGTGATCAATGGTGTTGTCAAATTAGGTTGTTCTTGGTTCAACATTGTTGGGGACTAAGAGGGGCCGGGAAAAGATGCCTCGGCACTTCATGGTGATCGATCGTTGCTCACTGTGATGGCACAGATCAAGCTTCGGCCCCGCTGCTGTGTACGAGTACATGAAACAGGCAGGTGTTGGGCCGTCCGCATCTGAATCCCGCCCGAGCCTACGGGAGCCGGAAGAATATAAAGTAAAAGACGAGCCCATCTCTCTACGCATTTCCTGCTGGACATTGATTTGTCACGATATATTCCAGTGTTTGGTGTTCCGAATTGTCCGCAGATATGAGTGCCACAGACAAGTTGACGCCGGGTGACACCCGCGTCAAGTATGAGACGGCTCAAATCAGAGGAAAGACTTACAGCTATATGCTAGGCGAGCCCGAGGGCCAAGCCAAAGACACCATCGTCCTGGTTCACGGATTCCCAGATATTGGCTTCGGTTGGCGTTGCCAGATCCCTTACTTGATGTCTCTCGGACTCCGGGTAGTGGTGCCTGATATGCTGGGCTATGGTGGAACAGATGCACCTGCCGAGATCGAGCCCTACAGCCTGAAGAGCTTGTCCGATGACCTCGCAGAGCTCGCCAGGAAGTTTGTCGGCGAGGATGGGCAGATCATCCTTGGTGGCCACGACTGGGGTGGTGCTGTGGTTTGGCGACTCCCGCTCTGGCACCCGAAGCTCATCAAGGGTGTCTTCAGCGTCTGCACTCCGTTTCCACCCCCACGAAGCGAATACCATGACCTGAAGGACGTCATCGCTCTTGGCATTTTGACCAACTTCAAGTACCAGCTGCAATTCAGAGGCCCCGAGACGGAGGCCAACATCCAGGGCGAAGAGAAGCTCCGCCAGTTCTTCACATGCATGTTTGGAGGCCGGACCAGCGACGGCGAGCCTGCATTCGACGTATCCAAGGGCGTTCTCTTCGATAAGCTCGAGTCCCTGAAGCCGTCCCCCCTGCTCTCGAAGGAGGAGCTCGAGTACTACGTGAAGAAGTACGCAGCGCACCCAGCACCGGAGCTGCACGGCCCGTTGAACTGGTACAGAACGGCCAAGCTTAACTTTGAGGAGGACAGGCCGTTGGCGGAGACGCCGACGGTTCTGGAGATGCCGTCGTTGCTGGTCACGGCGGAGAAGGACACGGCGTTGCCACCCGAGATGTCGCGGAACATGGATAAGCACTTCAAGGATTTGACGAAGAAGAGCGTCAACGCTAGCCACTGGGCCTTGACACAGGCTGGTCCCCAGGTCAATGAATACATTGGCGAGTGGATTAGATCTAGTGTTTGGGGTGAGGCGCTGCCTGCAAAGTCTTCTTTGTAAAACGAAGTCTACGAGATATTAGGATGGAAGGGATTGGACCGGAGTCAAGGTGTATGCACACAAAACGCGCCTTTGTTGAATGAGGAGGACTAATTGGCAATTCGAACAGCCATTTCCAGTCATTATTTGAACCGAGGGTACTCGGATATGTTCGTAACTCTCTTTTACTACGCTTGAGAAGGGCATAATAAGCACGCAAGCAGTAAGCACCGACAGCCTGCCCTGGCTCGCTGATGATTCCCAAAACATGGGGGAACCTATCAGCAGGACAGATGAGACCGGGTGAGATATATAAAGTATGGGAAAAAGTTCCCTATATCTATGTAGCAAGTAACAAAAGACCCTTTTGTAGCTGTCAAAAGCTCTCATATGCACACCCATGTCTAGTAGTTATATAAGTAGAATGACGATTTGCGAAGACGATTGCGAGGAAGGCAGGGCAACAGCTGCCATGTGGCAGTGCAAGGGGCCTGCATCTACATGTACGTATTTCTAGCAACGGTCAAGATGGCGACATAGATTTAGCAAGTAGATGCTCGGGTCTTTACTTCTGGCGTGATGCATAAATAGAGCTATCTTGCTAATCAATTACCCTGCTAAATGCCGGAAACAATCGATGTCTGTAACCGACAAAGAATCAATAAGGTAGTATAGAACAGGAGGTACGAGGTACAAATATATTGCATGAACGAATTCGAGGTGACAACAGTCGAGCGGCTGTGCTGACGCGGCGACACAGCAAATACCTAGGCTTGCTAGGCACGTACTTGCAGCTGATCCCACCAGCAGTCAAGCTCGTACTGGCTAGCGGACAATAATAATAGCAACAAGGGACTTGGTTGGCTGCCCCCTTTCTGTAACACTCGCAAGAAAAAAGGTGGCGGAAAGTGGGTGGTGGAGACCGCAGTGGCCTGTAAGAGACTCCATGTTCTTACCTAATGCACTATGTCCCGCCATAGCAGCCCTCTGGCGATGATTTCAGTGGGTACGCTACAGGTCATCTCGGGGTGGGGAACGGGGCCGTAGAGCTGTAGCCTCCACTGGACAGCAGGCAGGTAGTGCTGTAGGTAGCATGCCGGATCCCTGATTGGGGCAGCAATGCCACTCACTGACGACCAAAACTTCCAGCAGTGCTGTCAGCAATACCCATACATTCCGAAGCAAAGGGACGATCTCAAGTTCTATCCAGCATTCTCTACACTGTTAT